TGGATTATTTTCATAGAAATTGAACCTTACTGATTTGCACACCACTCCATGTTTTCCAGTATGTCTCCTCCTGTTGCCACAACTGAATCTGACAAAGCTTTATTTCGGGTGTGCATTAGGGTCATTAACATTTTCAAAAGATTGTAAATGGTCTGACCATACTGATAATATTGTAAAAATAACTTTAAGAGAGACATCTTCTCTACGTAAACTCATATTTTTATTACCGCGCTCTGTATTGAATAGAATTTGTGTAATGTTCATAACACCCCATTTCGAATATGCGAATATGTGCTTAATATCAAGCAAACAAAATTGAACAACTGCACTTAAAAGCAGCAAGAATTGTAACAGTTTTACCTAAATATACTCATCATGGATATCTGTATTATGAAACTGGTTGGGAAGCTTTAGCAGAACGTAGGAGAAAGCGCACACTTTGTCTTTTTAAAAAATACAGAATAATATGGCACCATCGTACCATAATGATCTTGTTCCTGGGAACGTGGCATCTAAAAGTAACTATAATCTTCGTAACTGATGATGTTTCACCTCTTTTCGCACGATTATACTTTTCGTATGATTCGTATTTTCCATTCACAATTAGAATTTGGAATGAATTTCCAGTTAAAGTTGCTCCACTGCTTACTATCTTTCTGTTCTTATCTGTCAGTCTTGTATATTGAATGTAAATAATGTTATGTAAATTCTAGGCGAGGTTGTTCTAACTGGTATAACTTGTACCCAATCCTTTTCTCATGAATAAAATATGTTTAAAACGAAACTATTATCGTGGTAATTGAATGAACAATTACAGACGAAGGGGGGCACAGAGGGGCGAGAAAGAGGATTGAGTGGATAACGAAAATCTTTCTGCTAAGGAGGAGCAACTCTGTCTTCTTAACTTCAACAGCAAAATGTAGATTTCTCCTCAGGAATGGATTGCTAAGGTTTATGACATCACATATCTTCCGCCAATGTATAATTGAAACGGTTTTTAACATTTATTTATCACTCTGTTATATGTAAATGTTATGGCGTTCACTAGAATTGTCAATCTGCCATATGTAAATGATATGGCATACACAAGAATTATCACTCTGTCATGTATGTGTAGTTAAGCATTAGTTAGGTGCTTAGTTACGTAGTTAGATTCTTAGTTAGTTACTTAGTTAGTTGCTGAGTTACTTAGTTACTTAGTTACGTATTACCTAGCATTGTCACACTGCCACATACATATAGTTATAGCATTCACTAGAATGATCACTCTGCCATTTGTAAATGTTATGGCGTTCACTAGAATTGTCAATCTGCCATATGAATATGTTATGGCATTCACAAGAATTATCACTCTGCCATGTGTAAATGTTATAGCATACACAAGAAATATCACTCTGTCATGTATATGTAGTTATAGCATTCACTAGAATGAGTTAGGTGCTTAGTTACGTAGTTAGATTCTTAGTTTGTTACTTATTTACTTAGTAAGTTACTTAGTTACTTAGTTACGTATTACCTAGAATTGTCACTCTGCCACATACATAGAGTTACAGCATTCACTAGAATTTTCACTCTGTCATATGTAAATGTTATGGCATGCACTAGAACTATCACTCTGTTTTGTATATGTAGTTATAGCATTCACTAGAATTAGAAGGTGCTTAGTTACGTAGTTAAATTCTTAATTAGTTACTTAGTTAGTTGTTTAGCTACGTATTACCTAGAATTGTCACTCTGTCACATACATATAGTTTTAGTATTGACTAGAATTATCAACACCGACACCCACATTTATATTTCTCGTTAGCATTAAGAATGTCCGTAGCACGTACAGGAGTGCATGCCTCATCTATGTGTAACCAGACTGACTACTGCAAACACTGCTGTGTGATTCATGTCGTTTCTTGCATCACGTGACATGTCGCAATACAGCGGACTAACTTGCACTTTGAACTTCTCATTTCAAGATCACATATCGCCAAGCTGCGGCGATATAACAGAGGACAGGATCAATTATTTACGTGTATGTTCAGGTACACCTGTAGTGCAGAGTTAGCGTCGTGATCGGGGTAATTCGAACCAACGATGAGCGAAACATATTCAGCTTTTTTCATCAAAGATATATTTCTTTACGTCGAACAGAGACATATTTGGCATGATTACTTCACATTGTTTCAGTGGATTCCTTCCACCTTGGTTCAGTTGATTCCTTCCACCTTGGGTCAGTGGATTCCTCCTACCTTGTTCCTGGGCATTCCTCCAACCTTGGGTCTGGGGATTCCTCCCACCTTGCTCCTAGGCATTCCTCCAACCTTGGGTCAGAGGATTCCTTCCACCTTGCTCCTAGGCATTCCTCCCACCTTGGGTCAGTGGATTCCTCCCACCTTGCTCCTAGGCATTCTTCCAACCTTGGGTCTGGGGATTCCTCCCACCTTGCTCCTAGGCATTCCTCCTACCTTGGGTCAGTGGATTCCTCCCACCTTGCTCCTAGGCATTCCTCCAACCTTGGGTCAGTGGAGTCCCCCCACCTTGCTCCTAGGTATTCCTCCCACCTTAGGTCAGCGGATTCATCCCACCTTGCTCCTAGGCATTCCTCCAACCTTGGGTCAGTGGATTCCTCCCATCTTCTTCCTAGGTATCCTCCTACCTTGGGTCAGTGGAGTCATCCCATCTTGCTCCTACGCATTCCTCCAACCTTGGGTCAGTGGATTCCTCCCATCTTCCTCCTAGGCATTCCTCCTACCTTGGGTCAGTGGAGTCCTCCCACCTTGCTCCTAGGCATTCCTTCCACCTTGGGTCAGTGGATTCCTCCCACCTTGCTCCTAGGCATTCCTCCAACCTTGGGTCAGTGGAGTCCCCCCACCTTGCTCCTAGGTATTCCTCCCACCTTAGGTCAGCGGATTCATCCCACCTTGCTCCTAGGCATTCCTCCAACCTTGGGTCAGTGGATTCCTCCCATCTTCTTCCTAGGTATCCTCCTACCTTGGGTCAGTGGAGTCATCCCATCTTGCTCCTACGCATTCCTCCAACCTTGGGTCAGTGGATTCCTCCCATCTTCCTCCTAGGCATTCCTCCTACCTTGGGTCAGTGGAGTCCTCCCACCTTGCTCCTAGGCATTCCTTCCACCTTGGTGTAGTGGATTCCTTCAACCTTGCTCCTAGGCATTCCCCCCACCTTGGGTCAGTGGATTCCTCCCACCTTGGGAGAGTGGATTCCTCCCATCTTGCGCTTATGCATTCCCCCCACCTTGCTCTTAGGCATTCCTTTATCTTGCTCCTAGGCATTCCTCCCACCTTGGGTCAGTGGATTCCTCCCATTTGGCCCCTAGACATTCCTCCTACCTTGCTCCTAGGCATTCTTTCCACCTTGGTTTAGTGGATTCCTCCAACCTTGCTCCTAGGCATTCCTCTTACCTTGGGTCAGTGGATTCCTCCCATCTTGCGCTTATGCATTCCTCCCACCTTGCTCTTAGGCATTCCTTTACCTTGCTCCTAGGCATTCCTCCAACCTTGGGTCAGTGGATTCCTCCCATTTGGCCCCTAGACATTCCTCCTACCTTGTTCCTAGGCATTCCTCCCACCTTGGGTCAGTGGATTCCTCCCATCTTCCGCTTATGCATTCCTCCCACCTTGCTCTTAGGCATTCCTTTACCTTGCTCCTAGGCATTCCTCCAACCTTGGGTCAGTGGATTCCTCCCATTTGGCCCCTAGGCATTCCTCCTACCTTGGGTCAATGGATTCCTCCCATTTGGCCCCTAGGCATTCCTCCTACCTTGCTCCTAGGCATTCCTCCTACCTTGCTCCTAGGCATTCCTTCCACCTTGGTTTAGTGGATTCCTTCCACCTTGCTCCTAGGCATTCCTCCCACCTTGGGTCAGTGGATTCCTCCCATCTTCCGCTTATGCATTCCTCCCACCTTGCTCTTAGGCATTCCTTTACCTTGCTCCTAGGCATTCCTCCAACCTTGGGTCAGTGGATTCCTCCCATTTGGCCCCTAGGCATTCCTCCCACCTTGGGTCAATGGATTCCTCCCATTTGGCCTCTGGGCATTCCTCCTACCTTGCTCCTAGGCATTCCTCCTACCTTGCTCCTAGGCATTCCTTCCACCTTGGTTTAGTGGATTCCTTCCACCTTGCTCCTAGGCATTCCTCCTACCTTGGGTCAGTGGATTCCTCCCACCTTGCTCCTAGGCATTCCTCCCACCTTGGGTCTGTGGATTCCTCCCATCTTCCTCTTATGCATTCCTCCCACCTTGCACTTAGGCATTCCTTCCACCTTGGTTTAGTGGATTCCTCCCACTTTGCTCCTAGGCATTCCTCCCACCTTGGGTCTGTGGATTCCTCCCATCTTCCTCTTATGCATTCCTCCAACCTTGCTCTTAGGCATTCCTCCACCTTGCTCATAGGCATTCTTTCCACCCTGGGTCAGTGGATTCCTTCCACCTTTGGTCAGTGGATTCCTCCCACCTTGATTCAGTGGATTCCTCCCACCTTGCTCCTAGGCATTCCTCCTACCTTGGTTTAGTGGATTCCTTCCACCTTTGGTTTAGTGGATTCCTTCCACCTTGGTTTAGTGGATTCATTCCACCTTAGGTCAGTGGATTCCTCCCACCTTGCTCCTGGGCATTCCTTCCACCTTAAGTCAGTGGATTCCTCCAACCTTGCTCCAAGGCATTCTTACTACCTTGGTCCAGTGGATTCCTCCCACCTTGGCTCAGTTGATTCCTGCCACTTGGCTCACTGGATCCCGCGAATCTTGATGTACTAACCATAAAATAATTCTACCACTAGCAGTTTTGTTGATCGATATAAACAATAATAGGAAAATATTTGAGTGACTGTATAAAACATACATAATTTATTTGTCTTGGCCCTATATAATCTGCTGATAATGATCTTACTAAACACCAACATCTAATGGGTGTAAATTGTCACATTGTAGTGAAAGATGGTGTTCTTTCTTCACCAAAAAAACAACAATTGCTTTTACCAATGGTTTTATACATCATAGACATTACTAGTGAGTGAGTGAGGTAATATTTAACGTCACATCGGCAATATTTCAGCCATATCGTGACGGGATGGACATTACTAAGACACCCTATGTCACAATCATTTCAGTACAACAATAGCTCTGAGCGGGCTGTATCACATTTCTAATCGCCATCACATGATTGTAGGTGCGTCATGGACATTGCACAAGTGATAAGCGAAAGGAATATACTCGCGGTTATCCACGTCAACTGATAACGTGTTCCTCATTCAGTTGTTTGTAAATACCAAGCAATATAGGACGTCTTTAACATTAATGTGCCTTGTTCAAGACTAACGTGTACAAGCAGAAAGTCTATCGAATTGTGGCCCAGGTTCCCAAATGAGGCTCTCGGTATTCTGGTCCCCCTTTCTGGTTCTAGGTTTTGCTCCATGGTCAGTGCTTTCCGCGCCGGATGTCAACTCAACATGGGGACAGATACAAGGTGTGGATAAAGTCAGCAAAGATGGCCTTCCATACTTTGGATACTACGGAATCCCGTACGCGAAACCCCCGACTAGCAACCTGAGGTTCCGCAGACCGGAGCCTCACCCAGGTGTGGCGGATGTGTTCAATGCCACTGCGTATGGATATGCGTGTCCATCTTTACAAATTACGAACTCGAGCCTCTCAGATGAGGACTGTCTCACGCTGAATGTGTTTCTGCCCAATTCCACTGAAGTGTCTTCCCAAACGCCAGTGATGGTGTGGATACACGGTGGAGGATTTATGGCTGGCTCAGCTGAAGAATATGAGCCATGGAAACTGGTGACAGAGACTGGCGTCATCGTCGTCACCATCCAATACCGGCTGGGAATATTCGGATTCATCAGTACTGGAAATGACGTCGCTCCAGGTAACTACGGATTATGGGATCAACACCTGGCGCTCCAGTGGATCAAGACTAACATTGAAGCTTTTGGTGGTGACAGCAACAACATCACCATCATCGGAGAATCTGCAGGGGCGGCGAGTGTGGCCTATCACGTGTTGTACCCGGGGTCAAAGGGGCTGTTCCAGAGAGCAGTTCTACAGAGTGGAGCTGTCACGCCTGTTTGGGGGTACAAAAGAAATCCAGTGGCAACGCTGATGCTTGTCGCCAGGGCTGCTGATTGTCTCACCGAGGACACTGATCCAATTGCCCTGCAAAAACTAATAATGAACTGTCTGAGAAACCTGACAGCGGACACACTCCTTCGTGCCTCTGTCATACACGGTTCAATGGCCCACAACCTGTTATTCCTGTCATGGCTGCCGACAATGGATGGAGTCTTTATACACGATGAACCAGCAAAACTTATGTCGGACCACACGTTTCTGTCCACGACCGTCCTGAAGGACGTGGATGTCCTAGTTGGCGTCAATAATAACGAAGGCGGGATGATGTACGACATTGCTGTTATGTTTGACAGACTTTTGAACACAACATACGTCAATGAGATCTTCCGACCAACGCCATACTACACAGACATCCTACCGCAGATAACAAATCTGACGTTAGGACAACACAATCCAGTAGTCGATGACGTCATTGGATTTACCTACACCTACCCACGCCCTGATGCCAATGTGAGCCTACCCCATTACCAGGTCTTCGACACTTATGGTGATCCAGCATTTTATGTTCCAGCCATTTTGTTTTCCAGAGTTCACGCCATGTTGAAGACAGACAAGAAAACCTACTTGTATCTGTTTGATCATTACCCGTCATTCACTGAAGACTCCCCGGTGAAAGGGATGGTCCACGGTATGGACATCATGTATTTGTTTGGTCAGCTTGACCGCGAAAACAGAAACATTTCTCAGGAGGAATTTAAACTTGCCGACAACTTTACAGCTTTCATAGGGGCATTTGCTAAGTCGAGGTGAGTGTGCAGGATTTGTTTAATATGATGAAATGATAATGAAATGATATATTTTTGGTTTTGATACATTCCCTTAACAGATCAGACGTGGAATTTTCAGAATCAGGGCATGATAGACGGAAACTGTCTGTCTGCATATCTACCCTCTCTAACCTACCGGACAGAAGGCTACATACCTACCTACCTACCTACCTACCTTCTTACATACCTACCTACCATCTTACATACCTACCTTCTTACATACCTACCTACTACCTGCCTGCCTGCCTGCATCCATCCATCCATCCATCCATCCATCCATCCATCCATACATACATGCTTGTCGTATGATTCGACTAACGGGACTTGGTGGTCAGGCACGCTGACGTTGTTGACACTTGTCACCGTATCAAAATTGCGTAGATCGATGCTCGTGTTGTTGATCACAGGATTATTTTGTCCAGACTCGAAATTACAGACCACCGCCTTACAGATGGAATACTAGAATTGCTGAGTGCAGCTTAAAATTATACAATCTCTCTCTCTCTGTGTGTCTCTCTCTCTCTCTCTCTCTCTCTCTCTCTCTCTCTCTCCCTCTCTCTCTGTGTCTCTCTCTGTGTCTCTCTCTTTCTTTCTCTATCTCTCTCTCCCCCCCCAACACACACACAATTGTTTGACACAATTGTTTGCAATCTGAACTGTGAATAACGTCTTTCTTACTGTCACTGTTTGACATGTTTCAGTGATCCTAATTCAGTGCTGGAGATGCAGATAGGGACGCCATGGCCTGAGTTTGACGCCATGTCCGAACACTATCTGTCTTTCAACACCAATATGTCCATCCAAGAACACCTTTATTCTAAAAGAGCTTCGCTTTGGCTTGATCTTGTCCCGATGCTGAATGAAGCACCATCTCCAACGTCGCCCACAACAACACAAACATCCGTCCCAACATCGTCTCCACCGCCAGAGTGCTCTGACGACTCAAGAGTTGCAGTCATAGCGATGGGCTCCACACTCGGCGCCCTGGTCCTTGCATTCGTTATTACAATTGTGTGTTTCTGCATCAAAGCTCGCTCCTCTGATGATCAACAGAGCTTCTCGCTCTACTAAATGAACACATTTCGTTGAAAGCAACATGAGTACACCTTGTCAGCATCAACATGAACACATCTCGTCACCAGTAACATGAGCAGATCTCGTCACCAGTAACATCAGCACATCTCGTCACCAGCACCATAAGCACATCTCGTCTCCAGCACCATAAGCACATCTCGTCACCAGCACCATAAGCACATCTCGTCACAGTAACATGAGCACATCACGTCACCAGCACCATATGCACATCTCGTGACCATCACCATGAGCACATCTCGTCACCAGCACCATAATCACATCTCGTCAGCAACACCATAAGCACATCTCGTCACCCTCACCATAAGCACATCTCGGCACCAGAAACATAAGCAGATCTCGTCCCCAGCATCATGAGCACATCTCGATACCAGGAACATTAGCACTTCTCGTCACGAGCAACATGAGCACATCTCGTCACCAGCAACATTAGCACTTCTCAACACAAGCAACATTAGCATTTCTCGTCTCCGGAGACAGTGGTTGTTGTGCATGTTATACTCTCATATAACTATAAAAATGTAAATTAATTTACTCAGAATATGTTTGTATGTTTTCTTTGGAGGTTCATGCAAGGAGAATACATAAACGAGGTGGGCACGAACAGGCCCACGGAATCTTGAAGTGAAATTATACTAAAATTTGATAGTCATATATAAACTGAAACATGGTGAGGTCATTTATACGCTTAGGTAAATGCAACTTTTTGTATGCTTAATGGTCACTTTAAGCGACATGTTGCAACATGTCGTAAAGCAACTGATTCAATATTCGTTGAGTTTGAGTGAAATGAAACATTGTTAAAAACAGCGAAAAACAAGGATGTTGAACACACCAGCACCATGTTTGATTCACACGCCCAAACACGACAGCCTAATAGTGTTTGTCAGTTTATAAATAAACATTGTTTCACTGGATATATGTTTATCATCGATCATATATGATCAATCGAAGGCGGCTCTAGACTTTTTTCAAGCGAATATATACAATTACAGCACAACATTCATTTGTGTAGAACACAAATTTAGCCTTTGTTTTGGCGATAACGGTTTGGCTTCAATGTACACCTTGCGCAAATCACAAAAGAATAATTGTCTGGCGAAAGTAACAGATAAATATTGTCGTTTTATTTAGAAACGCGAGGATAATATTTTGTTGACATTACGCCACTCTTATATGTACTATTCTTTAGTTAGCGGGGCGGTGTGGTAGCCTATTGGTTAAGGCGTTCGCTCGTCACGCTGAAGACCCGGTTCGAATCCCCACATGGGTACAATGTGTGAAGCCCATTTCTGGTGTCCCCAGCCGTGATATTGCTGGAATATTGCTAAAAGCGGCGTAAAACCATACTTACTCACTCATTAGTATGTGTGTACACACTTATATAAAAATATTTAGACATATGCTCGAATCGTGAATTGCTTAAACACCCACACACACACACACACACACACACACATACACACAGACAGACACACCTGGAAATGAAGTACTGATTACACCTGATGTGAAGATGTGGTGGCGGTGGTTGTGTAATATCAGCTGATTGACAAGGAAGTAGTGGAATACCGAGTGATGAAGAACATGAGGGATTATGAAGAGTAGAAGATCAGGAGGTCAGATGCCAATTACTGCTGGCAAAAGAAATGCACTTGCTGCATAATGAGCAACTGCGGCCCCCATATTTATGGAAAAGTCGGGTGTATGTCACCTGTTATGATGTATTCATCGATGTGATAAAGTATCGCCCGTATCACCATATCAAATATATGCCCATAGAGTCACTATTTCTTTCATGACCTTATCAAACCCGGTTAATGTAGCAGGTCCAGGTGTATCAGGGTCACAATTCATTGTTAAGTTAAAATACACCTTGATTGCCAAATTCCAAAATGAAAGTAAAAGTTAACATGAAATCCTTCCGTAAAACCGTTGTGTGAAGCAAAGAAAAACAACAACAACAAAGGAGTGTCATGCAAATAAACATTTAGTATTATTTTCTTCAAAATTAACGAATTTTACAAAACATTACAAATTACTGCAATGAATTACAATCACAGTACAATATAGAACGGGATACAAATGGAATATGATATAAAAACAGCCTTTACGAATCACTTTTTTGTTCTAGGACGTTTGTCGCAATTTTTAAAACAACAATTCCTGTTTTGTCTTCGAAATACTACTGTAAAATGTGGATTTGCTTTTGGAATCCAATTACAGTATCACAAAACATAATTCAATATTCAGCATAAAAATATGGAGTACAGCCCGAGTAAGAAAAAACACCATTTTTACGAATTGATAAGTTTACCAATGCATTAATAACAAATGAAAGTGAAACGGACTAAGAACACAACCTTGTTGTACAGCGAGAGGAGGTACAGACACTTCTGTATTTACGTTGTGGATGTACGCACGCATGCCGTCCCATTTTAGTACTTGGTACATCCAGTTTATGTAGTTTTGAATCATATTATTATATTATTAATACATACCAAAGCATTTGTCTTTTGACTAATTCCAAGAACTTTGAAAAAAAAGCTTACAAGGTAAAATATTATCAATGGCAGAGTATCCTGTTCGAAAGCCAGCTTAGCTTATTCATAATTAGTTTTGTCACAAAAACACAAGATTATTGTTGAAAGTATTACTATATAATATGCCAAACACATTCAGAAGGGATATACCTCGGTAATTTGAAAGTAAGGTTTTATCTCTTTGTATAAAATTGTATGATGAAAGCTTATGACGAAGACATAGGGATACGCCCATATAATGTTGAACATTGTACAGAATATCCAGAAAAGGTCCCCGACTGTTTAAACATTTACATGTACGCAGCCATCCCCAGTTTGTTAGGCTGTAGCCTACTACATCATTTGAGAAAGCGGTGGTGACATTCCAACGAGCTTACATTCAGTGGACATAAGTGTCTCACACAAGAGCATAGAGGAGTGTCTAACGGGGACTAACTTTGTAATGATGCACACCCATGTACATTAAACATGTAGTAGTTTAACCTGATGGGATAGGTGGCAGATCATCTCGTATTTAAACGTTTGTGGAGAAATTGATCAATACGTGTGACTCTAACACATCTTTGTCTTGATTCGCTATAAAAATGTTTAAAACTGCTAAAAGATGCCGCAATCTAAATTTATGTACATATGTTAGTGACTACTTTAACGTTAATGGACTGAACGGGTGCCGAACGAGATTTGATACTGAACATAAATAGGTTCAGGATGTCTGCTGATACAAACTAAGCTGCGAATAGGCATGAGATCTGAATAACCTCTAATCTTAGTGTTTATATTTCCATACCCTGTTTCCTCCGCTTCAGACAGTAACACATGGCTATTATCACCAGTAACAGGCCCACGACACATAGAGTTACAATGAGGGCCAGGATAGTCACCTCGGCCGTGTGAGCGTCCAGTCCGAACCATGTAGATGGGGTAGATGCGGTTGGTGTTGTAGTGGACGATGAGGAAGTTGTAGATGTAGTGGGAATTTTCATGAGGTTGGGGATGATGTCCAGCCACAGGGTCACTCGTCTGGGGTAGACGTGGTCACGTACTGACATGTTTGTTGTGAAGGACAGGTAACGCTGGTCGGCCATAGTGAACTCAGGCCATGCCTGTCCAAGCTTTTCTTCAACAGCAGGGTTGGGGTTACTGTGAAAATAAAGTAATCACTTTGAAAGACTGATGAATATTCCCCTCTTGTGAGCGAATGCACAAATATCGCGGTATTTTTAGACATATGTATTGTTATTATAACGTATTATACTTATGGACAGCTGACTGATGACACGCTACATGACGATTTAAGAAATGAAATCATGACATCATAATCAAAACAGTTACGTACCCAGTCTTGGCAAAGTCAGCAATGAAAGAAACAAATGTTTCCGCCACCTGATACTCCTCAGACGTCAGGTTCCCTGAGTAGCCAAACATTTTGACCACGGACGGATTCAGGTCGAACAGATACAAGATGTCCACTCCATGGTTCATGCCTTTCACAGGGCTATCTCTGGCGAAGGATGGATAGTGGTCAAATAAGTAGAAGTAACACTTCCTGTTTGTGTTCAACAATGCATGCGTCCTGGCAAAGAGGACCCCCGGTACTAAGAAGCTGGGGTCACCGTATGTTGAAAGTACCTGTTCTTGAGGCAGCAGCTGGTCAGATGGTGGTCGGGGGTAGGTGTACTCAACGCTGACGATATTATTGATGGATGGAGTGCTAGCTCCTAATGACAATGATGTAACTGTTGGGAGAATATCTGTATCAAACTCCTTCGGCTTGAAGATGTCGGTAGCCCATGTGTAATTGTAAGCCCTGTCGAATGCTAGAGCACTCGTCAACAGGAGTCCCCCTTCGTTGTTGTTGGCCCCTACCATAACGTCGATGTCCTTGATACACGTGGTATTTAAGAATGTGATGTCTCTCATTAAGACTTGGGGATCATCTTTGACAAAGATGCCATCAATGGTGGGGACCCACGTGAACTGTATGAGCTGGTAGGCTGGCGTCCCCAAAACAGAAGAAAAGGCTAACACTCTGGTACTGTCGTTCTTCCTCATACAGTCTACCATGGTCCTTTGTCTGCTGATAATATCAGGATCATCACCAAGGCAACCTAAGCTGCTTCCAACAAACATAGCTAAGAATTTGTTGTTTTTGTTGATCGCCCAGAGAGATGTGGCAGCTCCACTCTGTAGAACTGCTCTCTGGAACAGCCCCTTTGACCCCGGGTACAACACGTTATAAGCCACACTCGCCGCCCCTGCAGATTCTCCGATGATGGTGATGTTGTTGCTGTCACCACCAAAAGCTTCAATGTTAGTCTTGACCCACTGGATCGCCAGATGTTGATCCCATAATCCGTAGTTACCTGGAGCGACATCATTTCCGGTACTAAAAAATCCGAATATTCCCAGTCTATACTGAATAGTGACGACTATAACGTCACCTTTTGTCACCAATTGCCACGGCTCGTAAAAAGAAGCGGATCCATACACGAATCCTCCCCCGTGAATCCAGACCATCACCGGCACACTGGACGATACATCGGTTGTATTTGGCAGGAACACATTCAATGTAAGACAGTCTTCACTCATAGCTGGATAGGAAAAGCTCGAAATGATAACTTGAGATAGCTGGAGACATGGCAGTCCATAGCTCGAAGCATTAAATATGTCAGAAACTCCTGGGTGTGGTTGAGGTTTTCTGAATCGGAGATCTCCAACTGGAGGTTTCGCGTACGGGATTCCGTAGTAGCCAAAGTAAGGTTGTCCTTCCCTACTGGTTCTCTCCACTCCCTGTATATATCCCCAGGTGGAATTTATCACTGGTGCCTCCATCCCTACAGCAGGGAGGACCAACATGGACACAATAATCAGATAATTCATAATCGTCTCCGCTACATCGAACGGTATACTGCCTTTCATCAACAACTTTCCCACCACTCCTCACCTGTCCTTCTTGTCCCACAATCCCCGTATTGAATATTGCGTAATGGTGTTTCCTGTCCTGTTTGCTCAGGCAGATTTGTATTTACTATTCACAGACTGACAACATACTGGAGGAAGGCGTTCCTGCTGTTAACATATACCCGTACAGTGAAATATGCACTGTTCACAGTCAACAAAAGACTTTCTGCACAGTCACGATGCTCCGATATGTGTTCGTTGAGTCACGTAAGCTCTACTTGACAGGAGCCACGCGAAAGGAGCTTGTTTAGTCAGGTCCAGTTCAGGGAATTCAAGTTATTCGCAAATACTGACATTTCTTTTTTTTTAAGCAGATTGACAAAGACACCTAGCAGTTATCATGGTACTGTGTGCCTGGCTTCACAACCAGCAGTTACCATGGTGCTGGATGCCTGACTTCACAACCAGCAATTTCCATGGAGCTGTGTGCCTAGCTTCACAAACAGCAGTTACCATTTAGGTGTATGCCTAGCTTCGCAAGCAGCAGTTACCATGGTGCTGTGTGCCTAGCTTCACAAGCAGCAGTTACCATGGTGCTGTGTGCCTAACTTCACAACCAGCAGTTACCATGGTGCTGTGTGTCTAGCTTCACACTTAGCAGTTATCATGGTGCTGTATGCCTGGCTTCACACTTAGCAGTTAACAAGGTGTTGTGTGCATAGATTCACACTTAGTAGTAACCATGGTGATGTATACCTTGCTTCACAACCAGCAGTTACCATGGTGCTGTGTGTCAAGCTTCACACTTAGCAGTTATCATGGTGCTGTATGCCTGGCTTCACACATAGCAGTTAACAAGGTGTTGTGAGCATAGATTCACACTTAGTAGTAACCATGGTGCTGTATACCTTGCTTCACAAACAGGAGTTACCATGGTGGTGTGTGCCTGGCTTCACACTTAGCAGTTAACAAGGTGTTGTGTGCATAGATTCAAACTTAGTAGTAACCATGGTGCTGTATACCTTGCTTCACAAACAGGAGTTACCATGGTGGTGTGTGCCTGGCTTCACACCTAGCAGTTATCATGGTGTTGTGTGCCTGGCTTCACAACCAGCAGTTACCATGGTGCTGGATGCCTGACTTCACAACCAGCAATTTCCATGGAGCTGTGTGCCTAGCTTCACAAACACCATGGTGCTGTGTGCTAAGCTTCACACTCAGCAGTTACCATGGAGCTGTTTGCCAAGCTTCACACTTAGCAGTTATCATGATGCTGTGTGCCTGGCATCACACTTAGGAGTTACCATGCTGCTGTGTGTCAAGCTTCACACTTAGTAGTTATAATGGTGCTGTGTGCCTAGCATCACTCGTAGCAGTTATCATGATGCTGTGTGCCTAGCATCACACGCACCAGTTATCATGGTGTTGTCCGTCAAGTTTCACACTTAGTAGTTATAATTGTGCTGTGTGCCTGGCTTCACAACCAGCAGTTACCATGGTGCTGTGTGCCTGGCTTCACACTTTGCAGTTATCATGGTGATGTGTGCCTGGCTTGACAACCAGGATTTACCATGATGATGTGTGCTAAGCTTCACACTTAGCACTTACCACGGTGCTGTGTGCCAAGCTTCACAACCAGCAGTTACCATTGAGGGGTGTGCCAAGCTTCACACTTAGCAGTTACAATGGTGCTGTGTGCCAAGCTTCACAACAAACAGTTACAATGGTGCTGTGTGCCTAACTTCACACTTAACCGTTATCATGATGCTGTCTTCATGGCTTCACACTTAGCAGTTATCATAGTGCTGTGTGCCAAACATTACACGTAGCAGTTATCATGGTGCTGTTTCCCAAGCTTCACACTCAGCAGATATCATGGTGCTGTGTGCCAAGCTTCACAATCTGCAGTTACCATGGAGCTGTGTGCCAAGCTTCACAACAAACAGTTACAATGGTGCTGTGTGCCTAGCTTCACACTTAACCGTTATCATAGTGCTGTGTGAAAAACATTACACGTAGCAGTTATCATGGTGGTGTGTGCCAAGCTTCACACTTAGTTAAAATGGTGCTGTGTGCCCGGCTTCACAACCAGCAATTACCATGTTGCTGTGTGCCTAACTTCAAACTTAGCAGTTACCATCGTGCTGTGTACGTAGCTCCAAACGTAGCAGTTATCATGGTGCTGTATGCCTAGCTTCAGTCTTAGCAGTTACCGTGGTGCTATATTCATAGCGTCACAAATGGCAGTTACCATGGTGGTGTGTGCCTGGCTTCACAACCAGCAGTTACCATGGTGCGGTGTGCATAGCTTCACACTGAGCAAATATCATGGAGCTGTGTGCCTAGCTTCACAAGCAGCAGTTACCATGGTGCTGTTTGCCTGGCTTCACACTTAGCAGTTATCATGATGCTGTGTGCCAAGCTTCACACTTAGTAGTTAAAATGGTGCTGTGTGCCCGGCTTCACAACCAGCAATTACCATGTTGCTGTGTGCCTAACTTCAAACTTAGCAGTTACCATGGTGCTGTGTACATAGCTTCAAACTTAGCAGTTATCATGGTGCTGTATGTCTAGCTGTGTGCCTAACTTCACTCTTAGCAGTTACCATGGTGCTGTGTATCTAGCTTCACACTTAGCAGTTATTATGGTGCTGTATGCCTAGCTTCACACTTAGCAGTTACCATGGTGCTGTGTGCCAAGCTTCACTCTTAGCAGTTACAATGGTGCTGTGTATCTAGCTTCACACTTAGGAATTACCATACAGCTATGTACCTAGCTTCACAACCAACAGTTACCGTGGTGGTGTGTGCCTGGCTTCACCCTTAGCAGTGACAATGGTGCTGTGTGCCTAGCCTCACATTTTGCAGTTATCATGATGCTGTGTGCCTGGCTTCATACTTAGCAGTTATCATAGTGCTGTGTGCCAAGCTTCACACTTTGTAATTACCATGGAGCTCTGTGTAAAGCTTCACAACCAGCAGTTACCAAGTTGCTGTGTGCCTGGCTTCACACTTAGCAGTTACAATGGTACTGTGTGCCTAACTTCACACTTAGCAGTTATCGTGGTGCTGTATGCCTAGCTCCACACTTAGCAATTACCACATAGTTATGTGCCTAGCTTCACAACCAGCAGTTGCCATAGTGGTGTGTGCCCGGCTTCACACTTTGCAGTGACAATGGTGCTGTGTGCCTACCTTCACACTTTGCAGTTATCATGATGCTCTGTGCCTGGCTTCATACTTATCAGTTATCATGGTGCTGTGTGATAAGCTCCACACGTAGCAGTTATCATCGTGCTGTGTGTCAAGCTTCACAACCAGCAGTTACCATGGTGCTGTGTGCCTAACTTCACTCTTAGCAGTTACCATGGTGCTGTGTATCTAGCTTCACACTTAGCAGTTATTATGGTGCTGTGTGCCAAGCTTCACACTTAGCTGTTATCATGGTGCTGTGTGCCAAGCTTCACAACCAGCAGTTACCATGGTGCTGTGTGCCTAACTTCACTCTTAGCAGTTACCATGGTGCTGTGTATCTAGCTTCACACTTAGCAGTTATTATGGTGCTGTGTGCCTAGTTTCACACTTAGCAGTTACCATGGTGTTGTGTGCCAAGCTTCACTCTTAGCAGTTACCATGGTGCTGTGTATCTAGCGTCACGCTTAGTAGTTATCATATATATATATTTATTTCCGGTACTGAAAGGCCACAGGCCTGTAGTACAATGCATTTATAATTCAATATTTACACGCACGGATAATATACATGAAGAAGGGAAAATAATCAACTTTAGGTTACATTGTGTTCTGAGATATATTCTGTCCTAAACAACATGGCATAGTAAGCAAACATGGACAAGTCTTGAAGTATAGTAAGGGTTTTGTTATTCAAAAATGCTGAGAATTTATAAAGGTTTGGATGGGCACAATAATATTTCTTAATATACAACTTTCTGATGGAATTATAAGTAGTTATCATGGTGCTCTGTGCCTAGTTTCACACCCAGCAGTAACCATGGTGCTGTGTGCCTAGCTTCAGAACCGGCAGTTACCATGGTGCTGTGTGCCTAGCTTCATACTCAGCAGTTACCATGGTGCTGTGTGCCTAGCTTCAGAACCGGCAGTTACCATGGTGCTGTGTGCCTAGCTTCACACTTAGCAGTTATCACGGTGCTGTGTGCCTAGCTTCATACTCAGCAGTTACCATGGTGCTGTGTTTCTAGCTTCACTGTTAGCAGTTACCGTGGTGCTGTGTGCCAAGCTTCACACTTAGCAGTTATCATTGTGCTGTGTACCTGGCTTCACAACCAGCAGTTACCATGGTGCTGTGTGCCTAGCTTCACACTGAGCAGTTACCATGGTGCTGTGTGCCAAGCTTCATACTTATCAGTTATCATTGTGCTGTGTGCCAAGGTTCACACGTAACAGTTATCATGGTGCTGTGTGCCAAGCTTCACACTTAGTAGTTATCATGGTGCTGTGTGCCTAGCTTCACAGCCAGCAGTTATAATGGTGCTTTGTGCCTAGCTTTACTCTTAGCAGTTACCACGGTGCTGTGTATCTAGCTTCACACTTAGCAGTTATTATGGTGCTGTATGCCTAGCTTCACACTTAGCATTTACCATGGTGCTGTGTATCTAGCTTCACATTTAGAAGTTATTATGGTGCTGTGTGCCAAGCTTCGCACTTAGCATTCATCATTGTGCTGTGTACCTGGGTTCACAACCAGCCGTTACCATAGTGCTGTGTGCCTAGCTTCACAACCAGCAGTTACCATGGTGTTGTGTGCCTAGCTTCACACTGAGCAGTTACCATGGTGCTGAGTCCCTAGCTTCACATTTAGCAGTTACCATGGTGTTGCATGCCTAGCTTCACACTTAGTAGTTATCATAGTGTTCTATGCCTAGCTTCACACTTAGCAGTTATCACGGTGCTGTGTGCCTAGCTTCACAACCAGCAGTAACCATGGTGGTGTGTGCCTGGCTTCACACTTAGCAGTTACAATGGTGCTGTGTGCCTAGCTTCACACTTTGCAGTTATCATGATGCT